AATAACTGATGTTTTACCTTTTATCCTAGGCTGTACTTCATTATACCAAACTTAGTTTTACAATAGTTATTAAGCACTTCCTATCAGTATTTTTATTTTTTTAAAGATTTACTTATTTGAAAAGCAGAGAGAGACAGGCAGAGACAGAGGTGTCCTCCACCTGCTGGTTCACTCCCCTAATGGCCACCATGCTAGGGGTGGGCCAAGCCAAAGCCAGGAACCAGGAAGTCCATCCCAGTCTCCTTGGGCTATCATCTGCTGCTTTCTAGGAGGGAGCTGAATCAGAAGCAGAGAAGCGAGAACTCAAGCTGGTGCTCCAATATGAGATGTTGGCATTGTAGTCAGCTGCTTAACCCACCGTGCCACAGTGCCGACCCCATCAGTATGTTGTCAGTTATTTATTCAATCTAAACTGCCAGGTTTGGGAGGGTGTTTGGCACAGCAGTTAAGATGCCCCTTGGGGGTGCCTGAATCCCACATCAGAACGCCTGGTCTAAGTCCTAGCTCTACTCTCCATTTCAGCTTCCTGCAAACGCCTACCCTGGGAGGCAGCAGGTGATGGCTCAAGTAGTTGGATTCCTGTCACAACATGGGAGACCCAGATTTAATTCTGGGCTCCTGGCTTTGGCCTGGCTCAGCTCTGGCTGTTGTGGTCATCTGGGGAGTGAACAGAGTAGATTTCTCTGTCTTACAAATAAACAAAAATTTACAGCAATCCACCTAGTTTCCTTTCCATTATTTGCTAAACTTAAAAAAAGAAATTAGAATTATATTAAACATATCAATGGATGATAGATGAATAGGTGTCTCATAAAAATTGTAAACAATAAAACCTCAATGGTGGTATATGGGTGTTCACTGTAAACTCAACTTTACAGGTCTGAAAAATTTTAAAGACAGAGCGAGAAACTGAGAGACACAAAGATAGATCTTCCATCTGCTGGTTTACTCCCCAGAGCCTGCATCAGCCAGGGCTGGGCCAGGCCAATATCAAGGGTCTAAAACTCATTCCAGATTTCCCAGGTGGCAAGAATCCAACTACTCAAGCCGTCACTTGCTGCCTCCCAGGGAGCACATTAGCAGGAGGCTGGAATTAAAAGTAGAGCCAGCACCCAACCCAGGTACTCTGACATGGGACGTGGGCATCCTAACTGCTGCACAAAATGCCTGCTTCAGTTTGTAATTTTTCACTTTAAAATGTTGGGTCCTTGATTCCCACATAGGAGAACAGAGTTCCTGGCTCTTTGCTTTGGCCTGGCCCAACCTGGTTGTTGCAAAATTTAGAGAGTGAACCGGTGAATTAAAGATCTGTCTCAGTTTCTCTGCCTTTCAAATAAAATAAGTTTTTTTTTTTTTTTTTTTTTTTTTTTTTTTAGACAGGCAGAGTGGACAGTGAGAGAGAAAGAGAGACAGAGAGAAAGGTCTTCCTTTGCTGTTGGTTCACCCTCCAATGGCCGCCGCGGCTGGCGCACTGCGCTGATCCAAAGGCAGGAGCCAGGTGCTTCTCCTGGTCTCCCATGGGGTGCAGGGCCCAAGCACTTGGGGCATCCTCCACTGCCTTCCTGGGCCACAGCAGAGAGCTGGACTGGAAGAGGGGCAACCGGGAAAGAATCCGGCGCCCTGACCAGGACTAGAACCCGGTGTGCCGGCGCCGCTAGGTGGAGGATTAGCCTATTGAGCCGCGGCACTGGCCAAATAAAATAAGTTTTAAAACTTTAAACAATGTTGGGAAAAAAGGGACAGGACTGACTGAGGAGAATAAAGAAAAAACCCTCAGGATCTGCTGTGCTTGATGTGACAAGAGAACAGGCAGGGCTAGCGCTTGGCTCAGCAGCTTAAGCTGCCTGAAACACTGGTGTCCCACGTGGGGGCCGGTTTGAGCCCGGCCGCTCCACTTCCATCCCAGCTAACATGCCTGGGAAAGCAGTGTTAGATGGCTCCTGGCTTTGGCCTGGCCCAGCCCTGGCCGCTGCAGCCATTTGGACAGTGAACCAGCAGATGGAAGCTCTCTCTCTCTCCTCCTCTCTAACTCTGCATTTCAAATAATAAATAAATCTTTAAAAACAACAAAAAAGATGACAGAAAGAAGACCTGGCCCAGGGCATGCACTCAGGAGGCACCTGAGGGGTCTCAGTCTACGGTGCATGAGCCAGGAACAGAGGGGGTGTACAGAGGAAACAGCACCAGCCCTCCTGCCAAGAACACAGATGGTACTTCCAGTCTCAAGCGGACAGGTAAAGGAATAAAGCTTCGGTTTTCCTCTTTACCTCTCCATCTACCTCGTACTGCAGAAGGAATACACCAAATTCCACTGCCTTCCAGACATGTTCCAGCGCTGAGGTAGGTGGCCAGCCACTCGACACAGCTTCCCCTGGGTGCAGGCTGGGGAAGGGCACTGTCACCCAAGCAGAGGCAGGAAGCCTGGGAAACACACCAAAGGTTTTCATGGGATTCCCACCTAGGCTCCTGCTTTCAGAATGAAAAGGCTATTACTTTCAAGGACAAAGGAAGAGATCCTCCATCTGCTGGCTTACTTCCCAAATGCCTGCAATAGCCAAGGCTGAGCCAGGCCAAAGCCAGGAGCCCAGAACCCAATCTGGCCTTCCATGTGGGTGGTAGGGACACAAGCCATCACCTACTGCCTCCCAGGGTGCCGATTAGCAGGAAGCTGGATCAGAAGCAGAGTTGGGACTCACACCCGAGGACTACAATATGGGATGGAGGTGTCCCAAGTGGCAGCTTCATGGCTGCAACAAACACCTCCCCAAATAAAATTGTTTTCCATCTTTTTCAACTTCACTCTTCTACCCCTAACTCCAAAAAATTTAACTGAGTATTCAGATACTCTGAGTTGAAGACAGCAGAGTTAACCAATAAAATGGCAAAACCACACCAGCCTCATGTACACACAGGCCAGAGAGCAGAATTCACAGACAGAGAACTTTCTTTCCAAACTGACCCACCATTTAAAAGAAAAAGGATTTAGGAGGCTCTAAGAAGGTTTTGTTCTATAGTCCAACATATTCTTAGTTAACAACTGTTCTTTTTATATCTGACTTCCTGTATTTATGACTCAAAACTGAAGAATTACAGACTTAAAAATCCCAAAGATAGGCCGGCGCCGTGGCTCAATAGGCTAATCCTCCACCTTGCGGCGCCGGCACACCGGGTTCTAGTCCCGGTCGGGGCGCCGGATTCTGTCCCGGTTGCCCCTCTTCCAGGCCAGCTCTCTGCTGTGGCCCGGGAGTGCAGTGGAGGATGGCCCAGGTGCTTGGGCCCTGCACCCCATGGGAGACCAGGAAAAGCACCTGGATCCTGGCTCCTGCCATCGGATCAGCGCGGTGCGCCGGCTGCAGCGGCGGCCATTGGAGGGTGAACCAACGGCAAAGGAAGACCTTTCTCTCTCTGTCTCTCTCTCACTGTCCACTCTGCCTGTCAAAAAAAAAAAAAAAAAAAAATCCCAAAGATATACAAATGGCCATAAATACATGAAAACTCAGTATCCTTAGTCATTAGAGAAGTGCACATCAAAACCACCAGAGCCCACCAACACTGCTTCTGGAATCTAAATGGTGTAGCCACTTTGGAAACCAGTCTGACCTACCCAGGACTCAGCAGTCCCACATTTAGGTAAATACACCAAAGAACAAAAAGTAGGGACTCATGTTGTCAAGGGTGGGAATAACTCAAGGCTTGTTAACAGATGAACAAAATGTGGTATACACATACAATGGAGTGTTCTCGATAGTTCTACACAGCAACATGGGTGGACCTGAAGACATTATGCTAAGTGAATCCAGACACAAAAGGACAAACATGTATGGTTCCACTCCCACGATGTACCCAGGCTAGGCACATTCACAAGCAGAAGGCGGGACTGTGCTTACCGGAGCTGGGAGCAGGGGACAAGGGGACATCACTGCTTCATGGATGCAGAGCTTATGCCAGTGATGGGCTTTGTAGGCACACATGGTGGCAACAGACAACACAGTGGCTGTATTTAATGCTTCTGAATTGCATATTCACAAGTAGTTAACATTATTTTATATAGATTTTACAATAAAAAATTTGTCAAGCCACAGTTAGTAATTAAATGCTTACAAGGGTATGGCATTGTGCTAAAAGAATATGTGTTCACAGTGCCACAGGGATTTGCTCCTGTTTAAAGGGATGTAAATGGGGGCTGGGACTGTGGTGCAGGTTAATCTTCCACCTGCCATGCTGGCATCCCACACGGGCACTGGTTCTAGTTCTGGCTGCTCCACTTCTGATACAGCTCTTTGCTATGGCCTGGGAAAGCAGCAGAAGATGGCCCAAGTTCCTGGGCCCCTGTACCCACGTGGGAGACCTGGAAGAAGCTCCTGGCTTCATGACTGTTGCAGCCATCTGGGGAGTGACCCAGAAGATGGAAGACCTTTCTGTCTCTCCCTCTCACTGTCTATAACTCTACCTCTCAAATAAATAAATAAAATCTTAAAATAATAATAAAGGGACACAAATGTAGGGAAGTGGGAATTATTAACATCCTTCTGTGCACCACAGACCCCTTCCAACAGTCAGGAAAATGGTCTCTTCCCAGGCCTGAGCAGAGCCCAGAAAAAGCTCAGGGGATGTGGGACGCGCTAGCAGCGGCACACCCTTTATTTTTAAGCACCCAGTGAAGACCAGGCTCTCCCAGAGCCACTGCGGCCTCCGTGAAGGCTTCTCCTACAGAACCAGGTGTGCCGGAAGCAAGCTGCTTCTGATGAGGTTCCTGAGGATCAGGAGCTCTAAAGGTAAGAGAACGTTTACTGAACAACCCCCTAACCAAGACATGCGCACTGTGCTTTCAAAGTAAAAACCGCGTCCGTAAAGCAATCTCCCGTGAAAAGATCCATGTTGACTAGCCTAGTTCTCACGCATGGCTCCCTGCGAGTGAGATGAGGGCTAACTATCCAGTGTGTGTTAATCAATACGTGAGCATGAAACGCAGAACCACACAACTTATCTTAAAAGACAGACCGAGTTCCAGAAGCTGTTTATTGTTTGGATAACAGAACACACTGGACCAGGCAGAGACGCTCCCAGGAACGGCTGGCGCGTTTCACTGCCTCTTGCCCTTTGGTCCTTCTTCTTCTAAGCACTTAGATTCTCTTTTAACGATAGGAGACATTTATTTTGATCACAAATGCAATCCAAGTGTGAATAAATAAATGTATTATTTTTTAATACTTCACATGTTCCTTTAAATAGAAAAAGTGCTCAATGTCTCTTCACAGCCTGCTCGGCCACAGCTGTCCCATCTATGGTTAAAAAGACTGTAACTTGGTCTTCTGAAATGCTTCTTGACCTCCAGCTCACTGCCGAGTAATTCCCAGGCAAGAAGTCCTACTGATATTGTCGATAGTCTCCAAATGGTGAGGACGGCAACTGGGCGGAAGGCAACTGGGAGGGGTCTTCAGCAAACTGAGGACCTGCAATTAGTAAAGAGGATTTAAGAATGACCTGCGTAGGACGTAATTCAAACGAGCAAGTCTCTAGATGACAGAGCAGCTAAGTCAAACTGAGGTCTACCTCAGAGCTGCAACCTGAATGTCGCTGTAACTCGACGTAACTCCCACAAAAGGACCAGAGAACCTTCAGACCCAGTCCATCAAGGACAGCCTGGCCTCCCGCGGGCTCCTCAGCTGTGCCGGGGAAGCTGGGCGGATCCGTCACAGCCAGAGGTGAGGCTCACACCCGAGAAGCCTCTTCTGTCACAAGCCGCAAACTGCCATGGAGCAAGGCGGGAGGACCCTGTCCCATCTGCACTTCTCTGTCAGCTGCTATTTAAAATTACTGTCACACAGTTTAAGTACCCTGGCTACACTGTAAGAGAACTCTGCAGTCCACTGCATGTAAGCGGTTAAGTGGGGCACGACCTCTGAAATGGCAAGACACCCCCGGCCCCCTTACAACAGTCCTGCTGTCTCAGCTGTTACAGAATGGGGGAGGGGGCGGTGTTTCTATGAACTAAGGAGAAAGGCAGCTCTTGAATAAAAAAGATGAATAATTAATCTTTTTTCCTTTAAGGAAATTGAAGCAGACTAAAAAAGTCATCTGGACAGAGAAGGGAGGCAGTATAAAACTCCTGGAAGGTGTCGATGCTTCGCTCCAGCGCTGTACTCTTGTTTCTCTGTGAAGCAGGACCTGTTCGTTCAGAACACTTGATACTGGATATGGCAGACACCAAGGACAACCACTGTTACCAGGAGACACACCTAACGCTACCCTCAGTTCTACCTAATACTTTCAGTGTTAATAATTTTCTCATGTAAGATAATTGGAAAAATATGGTTAACTCATGTATGAGAACTGAAAAATACAACTTCCCTCCTACACAGGCTTTCAGAAACATCTCCCATCTAAAGATAAAACTCATCTCTTTCAGGCTGATTATCCATAAATGCCGAATTTTGTACTCAAAAGGGAGATTTCAAGGAAAAAATTTAAAAGTAACCAAGACTAATCATTTAGCAGAAAGTAACTGTTTGCTGTATCTATCTGTGACCTTCTGAAAACAGGAAACTCCTGATCCTGATCACTGGGTACAATTCACCTGTTACAATTAGCAACAAATTACACTGGCTTCTCAGAGACCCTCCCAGCAGGCTTCCTTTCCACCGCTTTCATTCTCTTCAAAGCAGGGACATAATCTGACAGGATCTCACGTAGCTTTAATGTGTTCTCAGGACATAAATTCTTGAGTGCAGGGACTGTCCTGTCCACTACGGCACAAGGCCACAAGAGGACCTGGCACACAGATGTATCTAAGCTGTCATTACTGTTACACATCTGCAGAACCTTCTTCAAGCACCTTTAAAATGATCAGAAGTTTCATGATACAACCAAACGAGCACTCTAAAGATGAAAACAGAGTAACTGATGGGAAACATAGCGATCACCTTCACGCTCACTTTTCCACCTGGACCCAGAGCCTGTTATTATCATAGTCCTCATGAACCACAGCATACTAACATAATATAGAGGCTGCAAGCTACCATACTGTACTAGACAAAATATGCTCTTCGGGCTGGCGCTGTGGTGTAGCAAGTTAAAGCTCTGGCCTGCAGCGCTGGCATCCCATGTGGGAGCTGGTTCTAGTCCCGGCTGCTCCACTTCTGATCCAGCTCTCTGCTATGGCCTGGGAAAGCAGTGAAGATGGCCCAGGTCCTTGGGCCCCTGCACCCACGTGGGAGACCTGGAGGAAGCTCCTGGCTCCTGGCTTCGGAGCGGCACAGCTCCAGCCGTTGTGGCCATCTGGGGAGTGAATCAGCAGATGGAAGACCTCTCTCTGTCTCTATCTCTCTCTGTAACTCTGCCTTTCAAATAAATAAAATAAATCTTTTTTTTTAAAAAAATATGCTCTTCTATAACACCAGGAAACCATCCCAAAATGTCTGAGCTGTGGTATTAAGGAGAAAGAAGACTTACCATTGGGAAACTGTGCAGATGCAAATCTTGTCAACAAGATGCCAGCACCTTCAATTAAAGCTAGGAGAATGCCACCCATCGCGGCTGACCCCACCATGGCCACTGGTCCATCTGAAGATATTAATAACAAAGAGATTCTTTAATAGCAATCTACTTGACTGTTAAGACTACAGTAAAATAGAGAGCTTTCCATATGGCTACCCGCTCCCCTCATACCCAGACCCTTCGTTCTCACTGTTCAAGACAGAGCAGAGTCAGCAAACTAGGGCCCACAGGTCAAACACAGTCCACTGCCTGGTTCTGTACAGAAAGCTTTACTGGAACACGGCCAGTGCTTCCACTTGGGTGCCGTCTGTCATTGCTTTCATGCTGTGTAAAGCAGTTGTGACAAACACCGTACAGCCCACAAAGGCTAAAATATTTACTATCAGACCTTTTACAGAAAACTTGTACATCCTAAGTCTAAACCAGAAAACTCAAAGGAATTCCGGGTTGCTTCAAAAGATGGCTCTGAGCTCTTGACTCCTTACAACCCTATGCGGCAGGTACCGATTCCAGAGTACGGGTGAGGAAACAAGGTCTGGTAAAACGCCAGTCACAAAGTTAATAAAAAAAAGCACCGGACTGGGAGTGCTCTTGACCACTGTGATACACAACTCAGAACTTCATGCTCTCACCCTCACACGCTCCAAACAAGACACCCTCTTCCTTTCTCAGACGCCATCTCTGGCACGCCAGACCCCATCATGCAGTGTTCGGCTGTACGTATTAGAGGTCGTCACGTCAGGACAGGTGAGGTTCCCCCAAAGCCTGGCCTCTTCTGGAGTCTAGAGCAATCGCTTACTTCTTGCTGCCAGGATGGCTCCTGTCAGGGCACCACTTGTGATGGAGTTCCAGGGGTCTTCTTTCCCTCGGACTTGAACCATGCTACAGTCAATCATGGAAAACAGACCTCCCCAAACTGCAAAGCTACCTATTTTGAAAGCAAACAAAAAAAAACTTAAAAGTCACTTTTTCATCTTCTATTTAAAATGTTACAATCAAATACAAATGTAAACAACAACACTGGGGCCAGCGCTGTGGCACAGTGGGTTAACACCCTGGGCTGAAGTGCCGGCATCCCATTTGGGTGCCGGTTCGAGACCCAGTTGCTCCTCTTCTGATCCAGCTCTCTGCTATGGCCTGGGAAAGCAGTGGAAGATGGCCTAAGTACTTGGGCCCCTGCACCCAGGTGGGAGACCTGGAAGAAGCTCCTGGCTCCTGACTTTGGATTGGCGCAGCTCTGGCCGTTGCAGCCACTTGGGGAGTGAACCATCGGATGGAAGACCTCTCTTTCTCTCTCTGCCTCTCCTCTCTCTGTGTAACTCTTTCAAAAATAAATAAATCTTAAAAACAAAACAAAGGCCGGCGCCACGGCTCACTAGGCTAATCCTCCGCCTTGCGGCGCCGGCACACTGGGTTCTAGTCCCGGTCAGGGCGCCGGATTCTGTCCCGGTTGCCCCTCTTCCAGGCCAGCTCTCTGCTGTGGCCAGGGAATGCAGTGGAGGATGGCCCAAGTCCTTGGGCCCTGCACCTGGGAGACCAGGAGAAGCACCTGGCTCCTGCCATTGGATCAGCGCGTTGCACCAGCCGTGGCGGCCATTGGAGGGTGAACCAACGGCAAAAGGAAGACCTTTCTCTCTGTCTCTCTCTCACTGTCCACTCTGCCTGTCAAAAAAAACAAAACAAACAAACAAAAAACACTATTTCCAAAACAGGGCTAGTGTTGCGGTATGGCGCGTAAAGCCTCCACCTGTGGCGGCGGCATTCCATATGGGCACCTAATCAAGTCCCAGGTGCTCCAATTCCAATCTAGTTTCCTGTTAATGGCCTGGGAAAAGCAGTGGAAGATGGCCCAAGTGTTTGGGCCCCTGCCACCCATGCAGGAGACCCCGATGAAGCTCCTGGCTCCAGCGTGGTCCAGTGCTGGCCGCCGCGGTCATCTAGGGAGTGAACCAGCAGATGGAAGACCTCTCTCTCTATGGAACATCTGGAGTTGCAAAGAGGCAGAGAGAGAGAGAGAGAGAGAGAGAGAGAATCTTACACAGAAAGGTAGAGCCAGAGAGAGAGGTCTTCCATTCCACTGGTTCACTCCCCAAACGGCTGCAATAGCAGGAGCTGGGCTGATCCAAAGTCAGGAGCCAGGAGCTTCTTCCCAGTCTCCCACATGGGTATGGGGGCCTGAAGGACTTACGCCATCTTCCGCTGCTTTCCCAGGCCATAGCAGAGAGCTGGATCTGAAGTGGAACAGCTGGGACTTGAACCGGCGCCCTTGTGGGACGCCAGCACTGCAGGTAGTGACTTTACTCATTAAGCCAAAGTGCCAGTCCCTGAAACTTTTTTTTTTTGACTTCTGAATACTATCTTTTTTTTTTTTTTTTTTTTTAAAGATTTATTTGCTTATCTGAAAGAGCAACAGAGGGCTCTTCCATCTGCTGGCTCACTACCCAAATGTCTGTGACAGCCAAGGCTGCACCAGAAGAAACCAGGAGCTTGGAATTCCTGTCTAAATCTCCCATGTGGGTGCCTGGGACCCAACTACTTGGGCTACCACCTGTTGCCTCCAGGGAGCTGGGTAGGAAGTGAGACAGTCCGAACTTAAACCAGCACTCTGCTAATGAAGCTGACAAGACAGTGGAAGATGGCCTAAGTACCTGGGCCTCTGCCACCCATGTGAGGGACCCAGAGTTCCAGGCTTCTGGCTCAGCCTGAACCAGCCCTGGCTATTGTGGCCATCTGGGGAGTGACCCAAGCAGATGAAGATGTATGTGTGTGTGTACTGCTAATAAATAATCTTAAAAAAAAAAAAAAAAGAAACAACCACGAGTGTCAGGTTAAGCCACCTCCTGTGATGCCAGCATCCCATATGGGTACTGGTTTGAGTCCTGGCAGTTCTACTTCCAATCCAGCTCCCTGCTAATGGCCTGAGAAAAGCAGCAGAAGATAGTCCAAGTGCTTGGGCCCTCCTGCAACCATGTGGGAGACCTGATGAAGCTCCTGGCTCCTGGCTTCAGCCTGGCCCAGCCCTAGCTGATGCGGCTATCTGGGGGAGTGAATCAATGGATGGCAGATCTCTCTCTGTCTCCTTCTCTCACTGTAACTCTGCCTTCCAAATCAATAAATAAATCTTAGAACACACATACACACATACACGCACACAGAAAAGGATCACTTCAACTCTGGGCCTCCCTCAATTTGTTCATCTGGAAAATGGAGATAACAACACTAAGAACTTCTGCTGCTGTAAAGATTAAATATAATAATGCTGGAAAACACTTAGCACAGTGCTTAGCAATTGTAAGCACTCATAAATTGTAGCTATTAGAAAAATGTTTTTTTTTTTTAAAAAGAGAAAGTTATTCTGATCCACAAAATTTTGCAGGAATGACTGAAGTAGTAGGCCTTTTCCTTGTCTCAAATACAATCTATTCAATCTGACCACTGCATATGTTTGTAAGTGAATATAATCTGTCACCTTCCTTATCCCAGGTAATGAATAATTAAGTTCAAACTTGAGCTTGAAGCACATTGTCCTCCTTCTGGAGAAAGGTGGGGGGAGGGGAGGATCACTGTCTAACACATTGAGACAAGATTATCAAATGGATACAGTAATTACAGTTAACCTTCCAAATAAAACATAAATCAAGAAGAACCTCCAGGGATATTAGTTTGTGACAAGCTGTTAAACCAAACAGGTTTTAATTTAAAAAGAAAAACACTGCTCCATCTTCAAATAAACAGGGAAGGCACATTTTGTAGTACAAATGGAAGAAATCCCGCTCACCTCCCAGCTGTGGAGCCCTGGTTTTAATGGCTGTCAGACTCCCTCGTAGTCTGTGATTTACTCCCTATAAAAAAAGGAAGCAACCAAGGATACATCAGAAGTTTACCGGACGACGTCACCAGTAATATTACCAAACCCAGGTTTCAAGTGATGATAAAATAAAACCATTTGCCCACTTACCACTGGAGAATTGCGAAAACCTTTGATTGCTTGAAAGATACCACCACCTATGGTACCCATTGTAAAGGCCCCACCACAGTCATCCACAATTCGCCAGGGGCTGAGGACAGGGGAAAAAAAAGATGACTGTATTTTTCACAAACCATAAAACCTTGTTTGCTAACACAGAAGGATGCAACAGATTCCAATACAGAGCACATTGCAACTGATAAACATTTGGCCTAAAAAACAAGGACTCTGAGGACGTCCACAGCTATTCAGCCCCAAGTCAGCTAGGCTGGAAGGAACAGAATTAACATTAACCTCCTACTCTTACCAGCACTTTATTTAAACAAACATCAAGATGGGGTAAGCTCTTTGGTAGCTATAAACTTTAAGGCTAAGACTTAATGAAGAGGGTCGGTGCTGTGGCGTAATGGGTAAAGCCACTGCCTGCATCTGGCATCCCATATGGGTGCCAATTCGAGTCCTGGCTGCTGCACTTCCGATCCAGCTCTCTGCTATGGCCTGGGAAAGTGGTGGAAGATGGCCCAAGTCCCTGGGCCTCTGCACCCAGGTGGGAGACCTGGAAGAAGCTCCTAGCTCCTGGCTTCAGATCAGCCCAGCTCTGGCTGTTGCAGCCATCTGGAGAGTGAACTAGCGGATGGAAGACCTTTCTCTCCCTCTCTGTAGCTCTGCTTTTCAAATAAATAAATCTTTAAAAAATTTTTTTTCTTCTCTCTGTAGCTATTGATTCTTCATTAAGTCTATTTATTTATTTATTTGACAGGCCATAGCAGAGAGCTGGATAGGAAGTGGAGCAACCGGGACTCAAACCAGCACCCATATGGGATGCCAGCACTGCAGGCGTCAGCTTTACCCGCTACGCCACAGTGCCAGCCCGAGAAGGAAATTTTTAAAGTTCTGAAAGTTGATGCTAATGTCCAGGTTTAGTGAATCCAAGTAAGCACCTGAACCTTTCATTTGTATCAGATCCAGTTAGCACACTGAACCACTCTTAACAACCAGCTCCAAATGTAGCCTAAATAGTTATGTAATGTACCAAGATCTCAGGAATTTGATCAGACTAGAACCACTACCCTAGGAATATGGTCTATAAGAATCTGCTAAATTCATTTTCAACCCACTGTATGTAAATTTCTTTTATGCAGTCAAGTGCTTTACAATGCATAGAAAACCATAACTTCCAAGAAAGCTAGATTTCTTTCCTACAGAATCACTGATCTTTTAACTCTGAAAAAAGAGTATTTGTCTCCTCTCCATTTTACAGATGAACAGACGCTCCGAGATTAAACAACTTGTCAGAAGTCATGTAGGCAGTACCTAGGAGAACCAACTTAACTAAAATACAGTTCTCCCGAGCCCCCAAGCTCTTCTCACTTCATCACGCAGCCTGTGTGTTCTAGGAAAATGAAGTCTTGAGGATCATTAAAGCCACATGATTTATCATATGGTGCTGGAGGTAAGGAAAGCAATTAGGAAGCTATTGTAAAAGGCATTAAGGGCATCAGGTAAAATCCTGGTCAGAGGAACCGAAAGAAAGAATTTTTCAAAGACTACAGACTGCACATACTGGGGCTGGGGCTGGGGGGTTCTTCTAGTTCTGAGCTCGATGACTTGAGGAAGTGCCAAGGGCAATCAGATCAAAGCAGGGGCTTGAACTGTGGCTCAGCGGGGCAGGCTAAGCGGAGGCTTTTCAGGGCACTGGTTCAAGTTCCAGCTGCTCTGCTTCTGATCCAGCTCCCCACCAATGTGCCTGGGAAAGCAGCAGATGATGGCCAAAGGGCTTGGGATTCCTGTGAGGGGCCAGGCTGGAGTTCCTGGCTCCTGGCTCAGCCCGGCTCAGCCCTGGCTGTTGTGGCCAACTGGGGAAAGAACCAGCACGTGCAAGATCCCTCTGAAGCTCTGCTTTTCAAACAAACAAGTAAACCTTTCAGAAAAGATGAGAGCAGCTTTGACTACTAACTAACTGGGTAACTACCGCACTGCTCCAGGACGTATGCACCAAGGGAAAGCACAGGGGCTGCCTGATGATCTGGTAAAGGAAACCCATCGTTCTTTATGATATCTAACTCAGCAATGTCAAATCTTCTATCTCCCTGCCAACCTGCGCTCTGCAGCACATCCAACAGCAGTTCGCGGTGTGCTGAGGTCTGCGCATCTGAGCAGGATTTAGGAGGCTTTTTTTTTTTTTTTTTTTTTGACAGGCAGAGTGGACAGTGAGAGAGAGAGACAGAGAGAAAGGTCTTCCTTTGCCGTTGGTTCACCGTCCAATGGCCACCGCGGCCGGCGCACCGCGCTGATCGGAAGGCAGGAGCCAGGTGCTTATCCTGGTCTCCCATGGGGTGCAGGACCCAAGCACCTGGGCCATCCTCCACTGCATTCCCTGGCCACAGCAGAGAGCTGGCCTGGAAGAGGGGCAACCGGGACAGAATCCGGCGCCCCGACCGGGACTAGAACCCGGTGTGCCGGCGCCGCAAGGCGGAGGATTAGCCTAGTGAGCCGCGGCGCCGGCTTAGGAGGCCTTTGAAGAGAGCAGGAGGGGCTGCATCGTCTTATACATGGGGTGGGGGGCGGCATGAAGCAGACCACAGGGCTACCAGGTAGTCATTTAAAGGCCCGGGCACTTCCACAGCTTGAGGACACCTTGGTTCCAGCCCTCACACAGTAAACAGGTGCCTAACCCAAACACCAAGAGTGATTCCTCACCTAGGCCCTCAAAGAACAAGGTGAGGCTCTGACAGCGGTTCCACGCTCCATAATTACGGTTTCTGCTGACTTAGTTAAGCTTCTGTTCCCTGAACCTACCCGAGCGCCAGCGCAGAACCTGCACCCGATGAACGCTGAATTAATGAACGAGTCTCTGCTCATGGCTGTCCAGAGCACACACGCTTTTTCTATTTTCCGAATAATCTTGTGAAGCCCACCCCCTTCCCCACGGGAGAATTCCAAGCAAGAAATCGAGGCTCTGTCCTACTGAAGCTCATCCCAACACCTTGCGTAACGCCCGTCTGCAAGGCCCCAGAACGGCACTGGTTCGAGGCTTATCTCCTCCCTAGCAGAGGGACGTGCCCAAGGTCACCTCGGCGGGCACAGGAGACTGCTACTGGCCCCACACGAGGTCCACTGCGCCCTGCGTTGGGAGGACGTTCTGAGGCCCTGTCAAGCCCAAGCCTGGACCTCCTCCCCACCCACGGCCAGGTCCCAGGCGCTGGGTCGGGTGCGGCGAGGCTCACGCGGCCGGGGACCGGGAAGCCGACGGGCCGTTCGAGTCCCGACTGCCCATGTCCAGAAGCCCGCGGCGGAGTTCGGCAGGCACCCTGGGAGGCTGTAAAAGGGAGAACGAGGGCCGTGGGCAGGGCGTAAAGAGAGGCAAGGGCAGCGGAAAAGACTCACCAAGGCTCCCGAGCGTACTCCTCCATCTTGACTCCAGTGGCGCGAGAGATGCCGGGCAAACTGGGTGGAGCCTGACCCCTGCGGCGGAAGTGATCCCGAGAGGGGGCGTTAAGGTCTATGAGGATTGGTTCGCGGTTTCCCGCCGCAGCCAATGGGAGCGGGGAAGAATGTGGGCGGGGCGGGGCCCTTGTCGTGGCCGCTCTGGCCCCGCCCAAGTCCTCGAAGGCGGCGGGTTCGCGCCCTGTGGGCGGGGAGCTAGCGAGTGACGGAGTTCTTATTACAGCAGTCACCCGAGGTGCCTTGGCCTGAGGTAAACCTGGTGTTACTCCGCTAGGGTTCACCGTTTCTCCGTTTCGGCACTTGTGCTGTGAACTCTGAACCCCTGGATGGGGAGGTCCTGCTACCGCACGCCGCGCCTCCAGGGCAGCCAGCGCCTCGGTCCTTTGTAGTGCGAGCTGCAGGTGCGGGTGGCGCCCTCGACCTGCGGGACAAGGCTCCCCTCCCGTGGGCCCAGCCCCGTGGTTCGGGCAGCTCGCCTGCATTCTGCGCTTCTGCAGTCGACGTGAGAGCCCCCTGGAAGCTTGGGGGTGAGGCAGGGAGGCGAACCCAGCGCCGCAGAGCTGGCGGTTACCAGCAACGCGGGGACAACCTCGTCGGCCGCATGGCCTGTTGGAACGCGTGCGCGTAATTGAGAACGCTCTGATGAATGGTGCAGGCCGAAGAGAGGCTGTGGGAGAGGGGTAGCATGGAAGCCCAGAGCGGGAATGCGTGTGCAGCCAGCCCCCCAGGCCCCGTGGGCGTGAGGCCCTGCGCAGAGGGCCGGGGATGTTTTTCCTGGTCTCACCAGGGCCCCCAGGCCCCGTGGGCGTGAGCCCCTGCGCGGGGGCCGGGGATGTTTTTCCTGGTCTCACCAGGCCCATCCTTTAGCTTGCTACCTGCCTGAGCGCTTATTCCATATTCATTACCCAGTCCTCTGGTTGTCTGGCTCTGACCAGATTTCCATATAAAAGAGCAAGCCCTTGGCGGTGCTGCTAGCTGTTCTTGTTCCTTGGTGGGCAGTGTTGGTTTATGTACCTGTGCTTGTTGTATTTTTCTAAAGCCTAAAAAAAGTATTCATTTGTGTGAAAAGCAGAGAGAGAGAGAGAGAGAGAGAGAGAGAGAGAGAGAGAATATCTTCCATCTGCAGCAACAGTGGAGCTGGGTCAGGCCACAGCCAGGATCCAGGTACTTGAGCCATCATCGGCCGCCTCCCAGGATGGTTGTTAGCAGGAAGCTGGACTCGGGGGAATAGCTGGGACTGAAACTCAGAGAGTGATGTGGGATACAGGTATCCCAAGTGGAATCAACCACTGTGCCAAACACCTGCCCTTAAAATTAATTTTTTGAAATTTCATTTTCTTTTACTTATTTGCAAGGCAGAGAGCCAGAGCGCTCTCCCGGTTGCACTGTGATATGGGTGCAGGTGTCCTAAGCGGTGGCTGAAGTGACCGCACCACAGCACTGTCCTGAGTTTATTTCCTTTGACTCAGTAATCAGGGATGGCCGCAGATCTCCAGAGGGACGCGGCCAATCAGATGCTGGGTAGCTCTGTGTTATGAGTGTTATGAGGCATTGGCTCCCCGCTTTGCGAAGTTTGAGAAGTCCCGTGAGCGGTCTCTGCAAGCTGGAGACCCAGCGGTAGAATTCAGGCCAAGACCAAAGGCCCGGGGCCCAGGGAAGCCCACGATATCAGGGCACATCCTCCTTCCTCAGCCATTTATCCCACTCGGGCCCTCGGTGGATTGCCTGCTGCTCCGGTCCACTGGGAAGGGCAGTCTGTCCTGAGTCCACTGTTCTCGGCCAGAGACCCTCAGAAACACCCCTGGCAAGAGCACGTGATCTGGGCACCCCACGGCCCATGTGGACACATCAGTCGGTAACCTGCACAGGGAAGAGACCGAGTTTCAGAGTTCACAAAGCAGAGGTCCGGACACGAGCACTGGTCCCCGCTCCTGGGTCCTCACAGCCCCTGTCCTGAAGGACCTCGCTCTTCTGGGAGGCCTTGCTCCAGAGGCCAGCGAGCGGCCTCAGACATCTCACTCTGGGCTCACTTTCCACTGGAACAACTCTCTCTCTCTCCCTCTCAAATGAACAAATACTTTTTTTTTTTTTTTTTTTTTTTTTTTTTTTTTTTTTTGACAGGCAGAGTGGACAGTGAGAGAGAGAGACAGAGAGAAAGGTCTTCCTTTGCCGTTGGTTCACCCTCCAATGGCTGCCGCGGCTGGCGCGCTGCGGCCGGCGCACCGCGCTGATCCGATGGCAGGAGCCAGGAGCCAGGTGCTTTTCCTGGTCTCCCATGGGGTGCAGGGCCCAAGCACCTGGGCCATCCTCCACTGCACTCCCTGGCCACAGCAGAGGGCTGGCCTGGAAGAGGGGCAATCGGGACAGAATCCAGCGCCCCGACCGGGACTAGAACCCGGTGTGCCGGCGCCGCAAGGCGGAGGATTAGCCTAGTGAGCCGCAGCGCCGGCCCAAATACTTTTTTTAAAAATTTATCTCTTTAAGAGGTAGAGAGAGAGGTCTTCCATCTGCTGGTTCATTCCCCAAATGGCCACAATAGCCGGAGCTGGGCTGATCCAAAACCAGGAGTCAGGAGCTTCTTCTAGGTCTCCCACATGAGTTCAGGGGCCCAAGCACTTGGGCCATTCTCCACTGTTTTCCCAGACCGTAGCAGAGAGCTGGATCGGAAGAGGAACAGCAGGGTCTTGAACCAGTGCCTGTATGCAGCCGCTTTACCCACTACACCACCACACTGGCCCCTGAATAGATATTTTTTTAAATATTTATTTATTTATTTGAAAGTCAGAGCTACACAGAGAGAGAAGGAAAGCCAGAGAGAGAGAGAGAGAGAGGTCTTCCATCCACTGGTTCACTCCCCAATTGGCTACAACAGCCAGGACTGTACTTATCTGAAGCCAGGAGCCAGGAGCCCCTTCTGGGTTTCCCACACGGGTACAGGGGCCCAAGCACTTGGGCCATCCTCCACTGCCTTCCCAGGCCACAGCAGAGAGCTGGACTGGAAGAGGAGCAACCGGGACAGAACCCGGCGCCTATATGGGATGCCAGCACCGCAAGTGGAGGATTAGCCAAGTGAGCTAATAGAATAGATAATTTTAAAAATCTGTTTCAATTTTGTTCCAGGGTGAAGAAACCTTTTGGAAGAAATGTCCCCCAGTGGGTCTTCACTGTGTCAGAGGGCCTCTGGTGGCTGTCACTGGAGCAACAGTGACATGAGGGAAAGGTAGGAGGACGCAGTGGAGATGCTTGGGAGAAAACCCAATGCACAAGCGAGTGAGTTTGAGCTGGTGGTAAACACGACAGGGGGGTGTCTCACTGAAAGCCAGTATCAGGCCTGGCATTGTGGCACAATGGGCAAAGCCACCAGCTAAGATGGTAGCATCCCATAGGGGTGCCAGTTCGAACCCTGGCTGCTTCACCTCCAACCCAGCTTTCTGCTAATGCTCCTGGGAAAGCAACAGAAGATGGCTGAAGTGCTTGGGCCCCTGCACCCACATGGGAGACCTGGAAGAAGCTCCTGGCTCCTGGCTTCCACCTGACCCAGCACTGGCCATTGCAGCCATCTGGGGAATGAATCAGCAAATAGAAGATCTTTCTCTCTCCTCTCTCTCTCTCTCTCTCTCTCTCTCTCTCTCTCTCTCTCTCCCCGTTCTCTTTCCCTCTTTCACTATAACTCTGATTCTCAAAATAAATAAATCTTAAAAAAAAAAAAAAAAAAAAGGAAGTCAGTGCCCTGGGCCCAGTATGTGAATGGGGATAGGACTCTGTGACCCAGGACCTCACGGGCAAGGACATTTTCAGAATCTGCCCATTCTGGCCCTCAGTGCTTGCTCACTTAGAGGTTCTTGTACCTCAGTAGTGTAAGCTCCATGGACCAGAGGGTACCAGGGCCCAAAAAACCTCTGCCCACCAGGAGATCACAGGCCTTGTGTGTGGTGGCAGCCCACCCAGCCACGCCTGGTCTGAGTCCGAGACGGTTAAGTGAGGCTTGCATCACAGTCAGCTCCTGGGTCTGGGGCTCCAGGCTGTGACCGGGGCCGATGCAGTGGGCACCAGGTTTAGCCTGGCTGGCGCTTGTGTCTTTTGTGCCTTCTTTTCCCTCCCCACACCCTCCCTGCGGGAAGACATTAGCATGGCCTGTGTCTGCCTAGGTGCCTTCCCCTGCCCATTCTGCTCACCTCAGGAGGCCTGAGCCAGGCCTGCTTCCAGCAGCCCCAAAAAGAAGGAAACTGAATATTCCTCCCCTCTGTGGGCTCACACACTCTGCCTCCTGCCTTGGCCACTCTGCCTCTGTGGATCTTTGTATATGTGTATTTGTGTGTGTGTATAGGTGAGGACATCAAAAACATTGTGCAAAATTTATATTAACAAAAAACTATCATGGATTTCAAAATTCTTATATACAAATAAAACGTATCTTTTAAATAATTTTCCATGAACTTTATTTTTTCTTTTTAGATTTCTCTGTTTATTTGAAAGGCAAAGAGAGAAGGAGAGAAAGAAAGGGATCTTCCTTCTGCTGGTTCACTCCTCAAATGGCCGCGACAGCCAAGGCTGAAGCCAGACTGAAGCCAGGAGCCAGGAGCTCCCTTCAGGTCTCCCACGTGGGTGCAGGGGCCCAATTACTGTTCATCCTCCACGGCTTTCCAGGCACATTAGCAGGGAGCTGGATTGGAAGTGTAGCAGCTGGAAATCAAACGGGTGCACATATGGGATGCCAGCATTGCAGGTGGTGACTTAACCCAATATACCAGAATGCTGGCCCTTCCATGAACTTTCTAAGGCCCCTTTGTGTGTGTGTGTGTGTGTGTATAACCATGCAGCAAATATTGTGGAGTGCTTATGATGTGTCTTTGGCTGTGTTACCATATTTAGTGTACTTAATAACTCAATAACCCTGAGAGGTAGGCACTTTTCTCCCCACAGGTAGATATGTTTAACATCCTCATTTTTCCATTTCCTAAGGCTCAGAGAGGTTAAAGAACTTACCCGAGGTCCACATCTCAGATTTGAGCCCATGTCATTTGATTCCAGAACCTGTGCTCTTCTCTGTTATCCTGTACCGTCACCCCGTATTGCTGAGAATGGGACTTCACTGGGGTCATTCAGCCCCCCGGAGAGCCACCTGCGCATCAGTTAACTTGGTTCCGGATCCCTGCTGTGTTGCTGCCTCTTCCCACCACAGATTTTGATGAGTGCTTAGGCTCTCTTTCCCTTTTCTTCTCTTCCCATCCCGCTGTCCACAACCGTGTGTGTTGTGCCTCCAGAAATGACCAAGCCAGCACCCCCTGACGCTCCACACGCATTTCTCTCGGGTGGCCGTGCGCTCAGAGTGGCTGGGGCAGTGGCCCTGGTGACAGAGGCGGGAAGTGGCTGCATTTGCTGGGCTCTGCGTTTCCTCATCCTCCAGCCTTAGCAGTGATTCTTTCTGTTTTTGTTTTGTTTTTGTTTTTTAAGATTTATTTATTTATTTGAAAGTCAGAGTTACAGAGACAGACAGAAACCGAGAACAAGAGACCTTCCATCTGCTGGTTCACTCCCCAGGTGGTTGTAGCGGCCAACACTGGGCCAGGCCGAAGCCAGGAGCCAGGAGCTTTATCCTTGTCTCCCACGTGGGTGGCAGGGGCCCAGTCTTCTTCCACTGCTTTTTCCAGGCCGTGAGCAGGGAGCTGGATCAGAAGTGGAGCAGCCGGGACTCCAACCTGCACCCAAATGGGATGCTGGCACCACAGGAGGAGGTTTAACCTGCTCTGCCACAGCACCGGCCCCAGCAGTGGTGTCTTTCAGGGGAAGACCTCCAGGTCTGTGAGCAGCAGGCTCAGGAAGCCCAGGCCTCTGGGCCTCACGGTTTGGAATTGTGAGACGCAAGCAGAGAAGACGCAAGGATTTGTGTGCAGAATCCTGTGGCTAGAAGGCCCAAGTCCTGCTGGTTAAATTTGGAAGCTGTGACTTTATTCTTTGAATGTGTTTCTGGGGCCAAGACAGCTGGGCCCAGAAGAGAGGCCGCTGAGACTGGCCGGGCAGGGCTGATCCCGGGGCTGAGGACGGGCACTTACATTCTCTAGAGCAGCAATGAACATGTTTGGCAGAAACCCTGAGAAAGCAGAGTCTTTGGAAACCTGAAAGAGAGCTGCCTTCAGTGACTAGGGCCTGGAGGATGGTGGAGGGGCTCCGGAGCCAGGGTGCCCGATGTGGTGCCCATTCTGGGCAGCAGTGACAGCTGAGACTGCCTGGGCCCAGGGGACAGGGGGCTGGGGGAGGGTGCTGTGCTACCCAAGGGGAGCGGGCTGGGGGGGGACCCTCTGGTGGGTTCAGGGAGCCAGCGCCATCTGCACCTGCACATTGCAGGGAAGCTCACCAAGGCCAGCGCAGGTCTTTCTTGTGCCCTCCGGGAGGCTCATGCTGACTCTCCTCCTGAATGTGTCTGGCTCCTACTAGCTCCTTGTACCTCCCTTGCTTGCCTCACTTTGCCTTACAGTCATGAAATTATACATCTTTAAGAGTAAATGGGGGGGGGGGGCGGCACTGTGGCACAGCGGGTTAACACCCTGGCTTGAAGCGCCGGCATCCCTTATGGGTGCCGGTTTGAGAGCCGGCTGCTCCACTTCCAATCCAGCTCTCTGCTGTGGCCTGGGAAAGCAGTGGAAAATGGCCCAAGTGCTTGGACCCCTGAACCCACATGGGAGACCTGGAAGAAGCTCCTGGCTCCTGGCTATGGAACGGTGCAGCTCCAGCCATTGCGGCCAATTGGGGAGTGAACCATCGGATGGAAGACCTCTCTCTCTCTCTCTCTCTCTGCCTCTCCTCTCTCTGTGTAACTCTGACTTTTGTGTAACTCTGACTTTTAAATAAATAAATCTTTAAAAAAATAAAAAAAAAGCTTTGGAAAATATTTTAAAAAAGAGTCACAATGTTGTACTGATCTTTGTATCCCTCTTCCCATAGTGCCTGGCAAGGGGCTACAGCTACATAGTAAGATCTGAATCAATGCTTGAGTGCACAGATGAATGGATGAGAATCAGGTAAGAAGATGTGTGTGAGTGTGTGTGTGTGAGAGAGAGAGACAGAAAGAGAGAGAGAGAGGAGGTGGTTACTGCTGAAACAAAAAGATGGGGGCTGGCGTTGTGTTTAGTGGGTTAAGCTGCCGCCTGGGATGCTGGCATCCCTTAACGTATCACTGGTTTGAGTCCAGGTTGCCTGGTTCCAATCCAGCTTCCTTCTGATGTGTCTGGAAAGGCAGCAGATGATGGCCTCCTGCTGGCCATGTGGGAGACCCAGATGGAGCTCCTGGCTCCTGGCTTCAGCCCAGTCCAGGCCATTGTGGCCATTTGGGGAGTGAACCAGCAAATGGAAGATTCTCTCTTCTCTCTCTCCTTTTCAAATAAATAGAATAAATCTTCAAAAAGAAAGAAAAAGATGGGAGAGGTGGTACAGCAGGGAAAAAAGCGCCGAGGGCCTGAGTCAGTGTGGGCAATGGCAGTCTCTGACAGCCGCCGTGCGGCCTGGGAGCAGGCTGACACCTGAAGCTTCCATGGCGTGACCTCACTCAGCGCTCACAGCAATCTACAGGGTGGGCACAGGGCGGGCCTTGTTTTACCGGGGATTGCCTCCAGTGCCCAGGGTCTGAACTGTCCCCTCTGACTGGTCCCTAGTGCCAGCCTCCCCTGCTGTGTGAGTTTCCCCACAGCCTCTCTACTTCTCTTTGAATGTGTTTTTCACCCTTCAGTTATTTAACGAATTATTTGAGAAGTATTTGTCTAATATCTGCCTTCACTGATAGAATGTGAGTCACAAGAAAGGCAGGGTCCGTACAGGTTTTGTGTCTTCAGTTATATCCCTTGCTCTTAGAACAATGCCTGACACGTAGTAGGCACTTGATAAATAAATGCTGCCTGACTGACCCGCACGTGGACCCTGGGGGATGGCGACACCCAGGGCTCTTCCAGCTACTGCTCAGCTCCACCCGACTCGCTTCTGCCTTCCCGACCCCCGGTCAGCACCATTCCCCTCCTCAGCCTTTACTGAAAGCTGGACCAGTGGGCATTGAATGCCATGGCCAGGCTTGAGTCCCAGACGATCCCTGGACTCAGCGAATGCTGATCAAGTGACTGTCTCTCTGTGGCTTAGGGTGGAAAGAGGCCAGGAAAGATCGAAGCATCTACCCCGATGGATTACACCAGGGCTTCTAGAAGAGATTTTGTGGCAGGAGATCGAATGTCTCTGTGACTGGCGCTCGTGGCATGATGGATGAGCAGTGGAAAGCCCTTCTGTGAACTGTGCCAGACCTGTTGCAACAGTATCTCTCCCAGCCACCCAGAGCTGTGTTTCTCTGAAGACACGCGATGTCCAGCTCTGGATTTATACGTGGGTGGCAGCCTGCCGGCTCCTCAGTGCTTGCGAAGGAGATCTGCGTGCAGGTGCCCAGCAGGGCAGGAAGCCGACGAGAACCGAGGCAGGTCCAGACCCTCTTCCGAGAGGCTGCAGGACACTGACAGCCCTTTGAGCGTTTCCTGACTTCCACGGATGCTGCTGCTGCCTTCCAGGACAGCCTGCTGCTTCTCCCTTTGGTACACACTGGGAAGAGTTCCTGTTCTCTCCCTGCTCCCCGCCCCACACCTCCCTCTCTCCCAGGGACCAGAGGGGACTAGAGCGCTGGTGCTCTGCTTCCACGTTCTCCTTGCAGAAGGGAGTGGGTAGGTGGGCTAGAGGGTAGGGCCAGTAACAACCCCGCCTGCTGAGTTATCTTTCCCAGAGCTGTTACTGCCTGGGAGTCCCTGAGCACACCACGGAACTCACTAGAAAGGGGTCAGAGGACCACACAGTGGCCACAGGGACATCCAGCCAGTGATGGAGAAGTAAACGCACTTCTGAGTGGGGCATGCCTTGGGCTGGCCACCTTCCAAACGCCCGGAGCCTCGTCCCTGCTTTTCTGGCTCTCGGAGGCTGTGATCTGCTTCTGCCAGCCTCTGCATTTTTGTATCTTTTTCTCATTGCGTGGCCCCCTTGTCTTTAAAAGGCTAAACTGCTCCGTACTAAATTTGGTCACGCAGCGCTCCAAGATTCCCTGGAATGTCCTCAAGTTTCAAACAGCTCTGACAGCGAGGCTGGCCCGCCCCCAGCATGGGGATTGGCTCCTCTTTTCAGGGCTGGACAGCTGTCACGTCTGATTGGCTGCTGGGTACACCAGCCAGGGTCCACTAGCCCTGGGCTACCGGGAGGCTGTGTGTCCAGTGAACGCTTCAGCACCTGCAGGGCGGCAGGGCCAAGGAGCAGCAGCCGTCCTCGACCAGCTGGGGGTTTGCTCCAGGCCCACTTGGCTCGTCCTAAGCAGCTCACTCCTCTCCTTGCCCTGCCCACCAGGACCCCAGAGTCCCAGGCAAGAGGTGCAGCCCACGTTGCCAAGATGTCGAAGGTAGCCAAGTATCGCCGGCAGGTGAGCGAAGACCCTGACATCGACAGCCTGCTGTCCACGCTGTCCCCCGAGGAGATGGAGGAGCTGGAGAAGGAGCTGGACGTGGTGGACCCTGACGGGAGCATTCCCGTCGGGCTGCGGCAGAGAGACCAGACGGACAAGCAGTCCACGGGCGTGTACAACCGGGAGGCCATGCTCAACTTCTGTGAAAAGGAGACCAAGAAGCTCATTCAGAGGGAGATGTCCGTGGATGTGAGTGAGCACAGCTCTGGAGGGAAGGGGGGGCGGGGGGAGGGCTGGAGACCCTGACTCTGAGACCACCATGCTTTTCCCATCAGCAGAACAGCTCTTGCTGGCAAAGGAGCGAATGCCCCCAGATGGGCAGTGTGAACTGCTTCCCTCCAGGGACTGTTGTATAAGCAGAGTCGGCCGTGTTGGGGGCTTACAGAACCACATGGGGTCACTCATAGAGTGGGAGTGGGGAGGTGTCCTGGAAGCACTCGTTGCCAGGTTGACTCCATCCTTGTCCCTCCATGCCTTCCGATTCCTTGCGTGTCGTGCTGTCCTGTTGTGAAGAGGGGCGAAGGGCAAGGACGATGCATGTGGTCCCCTGCCAGTCTCCCAAGAAGGCAAAGCAAAACCCTCCCCTTGTGAGAGCAAGACTCCCTGCTTGGCCCCTCTGGCCCTGCGGGCATCTCACGGCACATTGGCCATCACAATGGCCAGAGGGGCTTCCCAGAGCCAGGCCAATGGGGGCCGGGGTCTGTGCACCGAGGCCCATGTCTTCACCTGACAGCCTGCTTTACACCAGGGAAGCTGGGGGCTTGTAGCTGCTGTTCTTGTTGGCATTTTTAGAGGAGCTTCCTGAGGGGACAGCCCCACTTCAGTGGGGGTCCTCACCAGCAGGGGGAGGGGAGGCACGGGGGTGCTGGGAGCATCTGCCTGGTCCAGCGGCCGCACGGAGGACTTGTGGCTCTCACCCTGGCTTTCATGTGTACGCTGTCTTCAGATGGTGAGACCAGCCTCCATCTGGGCCTGACTTTGCAGGCTGCCTTTGTCCATGGGAAAGAGTATGTCGTGGCTAACACAAAGGCTTTTCCATGGGCCCTCTTCCTCACTCACCCCCTTCGCGTACTTCATCCATCGCTTGTGAATTCTTGTAAGACAAAGTTCAGTCTCGAATCTTGTCTTCAATTTTACTGTTGTGGAAACTGAGGCAGAGTGCTCTGGTTGGTGTGTGCATCCCCCGGAGCATCCGAGAGCGGGAGCACTGGCCGCTGGAACTCGTGTGGGACCTGGCTGGGTGCCCGGGGGTGGACACAGCCGACTCGGAGAGTAGGGGTGGGAAGGGAGGGGGAGGATAGAAGGGCCGAGGCAGGGAGTGGAGGAGCCAGAACTCTGGCTCTGTCCCCACTGCCCCTGGGCCCGTGTTTAAGGCTTGGCCAAAAGTGGGGCGGGTGAGGGAAGCCAGCAGGCTCAGGAATTTATTGTCCTGTGGGCAAGGTGGTTGCCTCGGAGGCGGCTGTAATAACGATGAATAAATACTAAGACATTTAAGGGAAAAAATGATAGGACTTACCGTGAGGGCTGGTACTTCAGGACAGCCACCAGGAAAATACAGACAGAAAGGCAAAACGCACCTGCTGTCGGGCCCAGATCCTGCACTCGGGGAGTACGGCCCTCACTTCCCCTGGGGTCTAGGGGCCTCTAGTGCTCAGATACCCTCACCCCCTCCCCGAGGCGGAAGGCCAACAAAACACTCTCGCTCACAGAGCAAGACAGCTGGGCCCCAGAGAGCGTGGGGGACCCCTGACTGCTGGAAGCTGCAGCTCGTGAACCTTGTCCTCAGCCTGGGAATGCAGAGGCTTCTCCCGAACCCCATCCCAGCACCCTCACCCCTGCCAGGCACTCACTTGGTTCTGTAGACAGTAAAGGAGTGGGCGGTGTGTGTGCACATGTGCACATCCTGTGTACAAGGTGTGTACAAGGAGTGGGTGGCGTGTGTGTGTGCACATGTGTGTATATCCTGTGTGCAAGGCACTGCTTTCAAGGAGTGGATTGTGTGTGGGTGTGTGTGTGTGCATTCGCGTATACATCCTATGTACAGGGCCAGTCCAAGGGCGTGTGCTGGGAGGGTGGGTGGATTCTGTGACTTTGGGTGATTGGGAATGAGCCCTAGAGAGTGGCATCTTTAGCACCACTAAAAAAACAGTGGGTGTGTGGTAATGCGCTTGGATTTAAGCATCAGAGAGCCCTGCTGTGGTGCTATGTCTCTTGCCATCACTCAAGTTACCTAGCCTGGCATAACTGTGGCCCTACTGCAGGACTGGTGTGTCAACAAAAGGGACCAGGAGGTGAAGCCCTTCGCAGAGAGCCTGGTGGATCATAAGCCATAAACGGCAGCTGTGATCGGACAAGTTCGTTTGGGAACCCGCGAACTGGGGAAGGGAGCCAGAAGCGCCCAGCCCCTCCCCCACTCAGCACCCTGTTCAAGCCCTGCCTGTCAGTTCACTCAATGGCCAGTCAACAAGCCAGGGGTCCCAGCTCACTCTGCAGCCTTGGTGCCGTGGGACTGGCAGTGGCCCGCACCCTGGAGGCCTTCACTGCAGGGTGGGAACTGGAAGGCGGTGGACAGGGTGACTGTGGGTCAGTTCCCCGGACTCCAGGAGGGGCGGCTTCCCGAGAGCCCTCTCCATGCCAAGCACAGTTCAGTTCTTGGGAAATGGGCATGTTTGTCCCCATTACACAGATGCGGAAGTGCGCCTCAGTGAGGTCACACAGCCGGAAAGGGGCCTTGCTGACACTGGGATCTGTGCTTCCTCCCCTCTGCCACACCAGAGTCCAGGCAGGCCAGGAGTGCCAGTCCTTGTCCTGAAGACCATCTGGTCCGGTGAGAGGCACGTGGAAGCGCCAGAGAAGTGTCTTGGAGCTGTGGCCACATACTCCCATGTTGTTACGGCAGCAGTGGCTGAGTAGGGACACGACTGCTAAAACCAGGTGTGGAGGCCACCGGGTGTTAAAACGTGGGTCCGACACCCGTGTCCCAAATCAGAGCTTGGCCCCCGCCTCCTGCTAACGCAGAGCTCGGAAGCGGCAGGGTGACGGGTCCCTGCCGCCCACATGGGGCATGGGTTGAGCTCTTCTCTCTCCACCTCTCAAATAAATAATCTTTTTTAAAAAAACACAACCAAGTATGGATAAGGGAAGCAAATGCCTGCTCAATACTGGATTTTACTAAGGAATTTCTGTTAATTCCTCTCAGGAGTGATAGTGGCATTGTGGGCAGACTTTAGAAAGGTTCTTTAGTTTTTAGACACAAATATTGGAATGTGTATGGGGAGAATTGATTGGATTGGTCAGTTTGCTTTGAAATGAACGGGGCCGTGTGAGCTGAGACCAGGCCTCGTGGAAGCAGGGTGACAGGTCCACTCGGGGCTGATTGTACTGTTGTCTCTGCCGTTTTCTGTATACGACTGTGCATTTGAGGGGTCTTCAGAAAGTGTGTGGAAAATGCGTATCTTGGGAAATACTATGCCTGGATTTCAAAAATTGTCTGCATCAAGTAAATTCATCCTTTAATTCCATTTTCTGTAAACATTTTGAAGTACCATCCTTTTTTGAAAGTCACCATAATAAAAAATGTTCTAATAGGTAGACAGAGGGGCAGGTTGGCCTGGAGTTTAACGCTAATTGGGGGCCCACATTGGTGTCTGCGTGCCTGGGCTCAAATCCCAGCTCTGGCTCCTGACTCCAGTGTCCTGCTAAAGCAGCCCCTGGCGGGGGGGCAGCAGTGACGGCTCCAGCAGCTGGGTCCCTGCCACCCACATGGGAGACCCGGTGGAGTTTCTGGCTCCCAGCTTTGGTCTTGGCCCAATCCTGCCATGGCAGGCATTTGGAGAGTGAACCAATGAATGGGAACTCCATCTCTCTCTCTCTCTCTCTCTCTCTCTCTCTCTCTCTCTCTCTTTCTTTCTCTGAAAATAAATAAATAAAAATTAAAATGGACATAAACCAGGAGTAGGAGGCAGGCCCAGTTTGAGGCCAGCTCTGGCTTCCCCTGGGGAGGGTGAGGCTGTTGTGCCAGGGGTCTGCCCCGTCGCGGGGACCTGGGCTGCTTCTCCCTCCGTGGGATGGACTCCTCCAGGGGCTGTCGGGGCCGTTTGCTGCCTCATTCACGAATGTTTCATCCTCACCACCTCTTCCAGGTCAACTCCTCTTTCTCCTTCCTGTCTCAGGTACCATTTCCTCCAGGCAGTCCTCCTTGACCTGCAGGTAAGGGGAGGACCCTGAGTGAGCATTCCCACCAATACCTCTCTGTTGCCTCCCTCTCCCCCTCCCAGGAAACCCCTTTTCTGTGTCTGCATTCGTGGCTGTCTCCCTCAGCAGCATGTGTGGTTCTGGAGGGCAAATGTTCCCGCAGGGCCCAGCTCACGGCAGGCCCTCAGCCTCTGTTAAATGAATGTTAGCAGGGTGCTGGGGCTTGGCAGAACCGACGCCAGCTTCTCTCCCTCCTGGAAGGGGCCAGACCTCTCTGCCTAGCATGAAGCCCACCCAGGTCCCCTGGGCACGCTCCCTCAGCCCAGGTGCCAGACACAGCCCCTGGGCAAGTGCGTGGCCGCAGCTCCCTGAAGCTTGTCCCTGGCTCAGGTTGCAGGAACCAGATCCTAACAGGTCAACTCCTGTGTTCTTTCCTTCCCCAGTGGGAAAGAAAGCCTCCAGCTGGCCTCCCCCTTCCTTCTCCCTGGTGTTACAGGGGCTGGGGATTAGCACCTGCACCCAGCCAGGGGCCAGGCAGCTGAGCCAGGGGGTGGAGGAAGCACTTTTAGGTTCTCCCTAGGGACTTGGGAAACAAACCCTGCACCCCTGCAGCTGGAGGCTGCCGGCCTGAGCCTCCTGACCTTCCCCTCCTGTTGCCTGCACAGCCTCGGCAGCCCCCTCCCCCAGGGGTCCTGGTCACCACTGGCTGCACACAGGGCTGGGAACACCAGTGCTGGAGGGTTGAGGCCTGCGGTGGCACCACCCCTCAGAGTGCCCTTTGCAGAGGGCTGGGCCTGATCAGGAGTGCACTGGGCAGCACGGCGCATCGCTTAAGGGGATTAACCCCGAGTAGTACACACCCAAAATAGCCCTGGAGGCCAGGGTGGAGAGGGCAGAAGAGGTGATGGGGGCCTGTTGACCCAGGGGTGGGGGTGGGGGCAAAAGCTGGCACCCAGAGGGGTGAGACAGGCCTAAGTCCCTTCCTGGAGTTTGAA